TATCTCCACTTTAATTTGTGATGCTCCTGCTGCAGCTTATGTTTTATCAATTAAACAGCATACTGGTTACAATTGTTGTCGGAAATGCACTATTCGAGGGGAGTGGATTGAGTCAAAGGTTTGCTTTCCGGGAGGAACATTACAGAATGCTCTAAAAACTGACAACAAGTTTAAGAATGGAGAATACAAAGATTTTCAAAGTGGTATATCTATTGTATTTTAAATGAAATTCCCAATTTTGGATTGGTAACAAATGTATCATTAGATTATATGCATTTAATTTGCTTGGGGGTGATGAAAAAATTATTGTGGCTTTGATTAAAAGGACCCAATAATGTGCGATTAGGCTCACGTACAATTGCGAAAATATCGGAAATACTAGAATTGTTTAAAAAAAGATGTCTAAATGATTTTGTTCAAAAATCACGAGGTCTCAAACATGCTCTGCAATGGAAAGCAACTGAATACAGACAATTTTTGCTGTATACCGGGCCAATCGTATTAAAAAATTATTTATCACAAAATATGTACGTTTATTTTCTTACACTACATGTAGCTATTACGATTCTTGTCAATCCTACTCTGATTACACAATATACAGATTATGCACAGAGCTTATTAGAGCATTTTGTCACAACGTTTTCTATTATCTACAGCAAAGAATATGTCACTTATAACATACATAATATGTTACATATATGTGCCGATGTTAAGAAGTTCGGTCCGTTAGATATGTTTAGTGCATTTCGCTTCGAAAATTATATGTCAACTATAAAGAGACATTTAAGAAAAAATAAAAAACCCCTTTAATAGTTAGTACGAAGATATGAAGAAAATCTAATAGTACACTGGAAAAAAAGTTTTGTTGTATTATAAGAAATTCTGGTTGATTCTACTAGTACGTTTGTTCAAAAATGGACGAAACAAATTTGTTGTTGGAATTACCAGAAGATTCTGTTAAATTTCATCCTGTTTAAATCTATCAGAATTTCTTGTAAACCTTACTACATCGTGTTGTTAGATTTACAAAACTCTACCAGAATTTCTTGTAAACCTTACCACATTGTGTTGTTAGATTTACAAAACTCTACTAGAATTTCTTGTTAACTTTACTATATCGTTTTGTTAGGTTAACACAACTTTGTAGTTAAAAAACAAGTTCGGATAGGTGTGGTTTTTGTAAAATACTAACAATATATTTTGGTTTAAAGTATACTCAGTGATGTGATGTTTCCTACCGGGCTCCCGGCTCCCGAGCCCAGTAGGAAACATTACATTACTAATATACATATATTTCATTAAAAAAAAAAAACACCACGTGATCATAAAACT